TTTTAATTAATTGAATCTATGCCCATGTCTGTCCATTCATTCATTTGTTCTTTCTTTCATCATCCTTTTTAAAAAATTGTCTCCCCAGGCTGCTTTTTATCTTTGGCTCTCTTTTCTTCAGTTTTCTCATTTATTTGATTATATTTTTATACTCTTTCATTTCCATTCGATAAATTGCTCTGGATATCTGCATTAAACTTAAAGCATTCAATAGTTATTTTGAGGCTATCATCTAAGATATTTATCTCTAAGCTTCCTCCAAGTAAGGAATAGCAAACAGTACAGGTTTAACTCAGGCTGGACACTGGTACTGGATGAAAATTGATGCTTTGCCTTTGCCTTGTGTTTCTAATCTTCTTAAAGGTTCCAATGGCCAAATGTAGAGGTATTACATGAGATTTGGATTTCTTTCAGTGAATTATAGTACTCTGTGTATGTGAAGTATATATATATATATATATACTTTTTTGCTTTTTAAAGATATATTTAGTACTGTTTTCAGTGGATTTTTATTTTTTTATAAAGATTTTATTTATTTATTTATTAGAGAGAGAGCACGAAGAGGGTCAGAGGGAGAAGCAGACTCCCCACTGAGCAGGGAGCCCGACGCGGGACTCGATCCCGGGACTCCAGGATCATGACCTGAGCCGAAGGCAGTCGCTTAACTAACTGAGCCACCCAGGTGCCCCTTCAGTGGATTTTTAAACTGTGCCTACATAATAGAATATCATGATGAAAATTGAATTCAATCAACCAGAAATTTCTTACTACATTATGCCAAAAATACAAATGGAGGATAACAAAATATAAATCCTACAGCTTCACAGAAAACTTCTATGTTTTATTTCTTTTGTCCCTACAGTTTTTCTTTTTTTAAAAATTTTTATTGTTATGTTAATCACCATACATTACATCATTAGTTTTTGATGTAGTGTTCCATGAGTCATTGTTTGTGCATAACACCCAGTGCTCCACACAGAACGTGCCCTCTTTAATACCCATCACCTGGCTAACCCATCCCCCCAGGCCACTACCCTCTAGAACCCTCAGTTTGTTTTTCAGAGTCCATCGTCTCTCATGGTTCGTCTCCCCCTCCGATTTACTCC